CTTACCTCCTGCAATCCCGAACATAGTCCAACAGTAAAAGTCCCTTGTTTTCATGTCGATGCTCGACAAAAGCGACTAGCTCGGTCCCTTTGTGTTGACTGGCACGCGAGCAGCACTGGCTGCACGCACTTGTCGCGTGAACTGCATGAGAGATTTCTTACGTCATAAAGAATGTGATTTCATCATCATTTCACTGGTCTTCGACCTACATGGTCAGGGAAAGTCCCGGTTCGTAGGCCTACAACACGGTCAGCGTGTTCTTGAGCGCCGTAACCATGGTAACAACACAAGTGTGATCACTTCCAGACCAACTAAACGGGCGTTCAAGGCGAGTAACAAGCGCACTTGACAAAGGTGACTCTGAGTCTGAAATCTCGTGAGCCGTGGGCCACGCGACTTGGCATTCTTGCGTCACAAGGCACGTGATTTCACCGTGCATCTTGCAATAAAATAATTCAAAAACTGCGCTCAGGCCTTCACGGCTTCAGTCACTTTTGCAGCAACAGTCGCACAAAAAATTATTGGTGGCGCAAGGAGAAGCTTGTCGTTTGGAGTGACAAGTGGTCACCGCTGCTTTTCCTTGTCAGAGTCAACACTACACTTTGTTCTGCGGCCTTGAGAGTAGTGTTGGAGTAGAAATTGCTGAGGAGACGTCGCGGAGTGGCGAGCTTTCCTGCGCAGGTATGACTTTGGCCGTATTTCAGCATGGTCGAGTGGAAAAAGTCAAAAAAGTTTATTTCAAGAAAACCCCAAAAGGAAGATGGGGGACATGTCCTCAGCGCTAGAAGAGGTGTTCTACTATCTGCCGGTGTATAGTTCTGGCCAATTGAGGACGTAGCTGGCTGTTGTGCCAGTGCTTGTAAATTGGCTATTTTCAAGACGATCATTTGTGGCGTCAGGGGGTGATGGACCTCGTCTTCTGGGATGCTGGCGTGGCTAAGCGGTACTGCTCCAGGAACTCTTCTAAGGTGAGGCAATGTTGGCTTGATGGAGTTTTGTTCATAGCTTGTTCGTATACGCTGTGGCGTGACTAGTTTCTAGACCCATAAATAATGTGATATTTCGGCCATTTTTGAGGGGTATGCAAATTTCAAGGTTCCCTTCAGAAACTTTTTCAAGGGCTTTGCATAATCGATCCACACCCCAAAGGGAACCTACCTGCAAATTTTGAGCGAAATCGGAGAGATCCACTTGCACACATACTTTGTTATTCTCAGACATGCTCTCTTAAATTTCTCACATGTCATGTACATGTACACTGTACCTATATCAGCTATTCAGGTTTGGCTAAATGGCTTAGACCCCCTGTAGAGATCTCTGGATCTGCCCCTGTGTAGTGGAGCAATGACTTACAGCACACTGTCCTGTCTGGACATGAATGCAGTGAAGGACTCCGACCACACAACACGTATACGATTGTTTTGAAGATTGCTGCAGCCAAGGACAGAGCACAGTATAAGCAAATGCACACTTACGAAAATACAGAATGTTGCTGACAGATCACTGTTTTGGCCAATGAGATATTGCCATGATACGAGCTGAAAAACTAATGAGCCACCGATGAACAAAAAGAAGGTATTTGCCAGTGAGTGTACTGTATGAGCTTTTGGTGTGAAGAATCAACAACCACCAGGATCACAGCAAAGGGTGATCAGAGCATTGCTTCATCACAGTGCGGATGTATTCCTTTCGGGAACAGCAAAAGGGGAAAACCCCTCCAAAGTCTAGAATGAACCCAACTGACATCAGCATGGAGAGAAAGAGGATAATTAGCCAGGGGTTGATAATACTCCATCCAAAAACAAACCCACTTACATCATTTGTAGGCTGTCCAGTCCATTGAATATATCTGCAGGTAGTTCAGTGATGAGATTGTTTGCCAGAAACCTAGAAGAGAAACAAGAAGCAACTTGTCGGTTTGTCTGTCGCACATGAGCATGTGTACATCTCTTTCCTCCCTCCCTAACTCCCCCCCCCCCCCTCTCTCTCTCTCCCCCTTTCTCTCTCTCTCTCTCTCTCTCTCTCTCTCTCTCTCTCTCTCTCTTTCTTCCTTCCTCTAACTCTCTCTCTATTCCCATCTCTCAATCATCCTATGCTATAATATCACTGCACAAAATCATTCAAATTCAACACAAGGCAGAGACCTTGGCTATTGGTCCGCAAGAAGGAATGCCATGACCAGTAACTCGTCGACTGCATGTCAGTTCTTCATTACTGGGTCTTCATCAGTTGGAGGGGGAAAATTCTGCCGAAAAAGTTGATTGCCACCACCAGGACTCGCACCAGGGACCCTTGATTATGCCCAGCCAGTCAGACATGCTTTACCACTACGCTAGGTCTTAACTGGGTAATACTCATATCCTGCAAGATCCATGTACTGTCGTGGACATGGAAATCCGGTCGAATGACCGGGGCCGGCGCCCTTAGTGCGTACAGTACGTTGCGTGGACAGGACACATGTTGATCATATTCGTACTCCTCGCCTGCATGGCCAGCGCCCTGGGGCCGCTTGACCTCGGACCGGATTTCCATGCCGACGACAGTACTAGGCATACATAAACAATGTGTGCTATCAGCTTACAGTCTTTCTAGGCCTTTCAGTGGAGAAAATAGGCTTGATGACAACTGGGATTCAGATAGTCGGTTTCCCGACAAATTTCTGCAGGATGCAGACATGCAAGCACACACGCACGCACACACACATGCATGCACGCACAAACACACACACACACACACACACACACACACACACACACACATATATGCACACACACACACATGCATACACACGCACAAACACGCGCGTGCACACACACACACATGCACACACATGCGCACACATGCACACATGCACACATATGCACATATGCACACACAGAAATGTACAAGCGTGTATTCACCTACACTAATCCAGCATCAAGGTGGGTGACCTGGCCCAGGACCCAGCACCCTGAGGTACATGGCACATGTATACCCAGCTGACCACCCAGGCCTTCATAGAGCACTGGCTGCATCTGATGTACGCGGCGTGATGTGCGCCCTGATCCCGAGACCATTGGTCAGGGGAGCGTACTTCAACTCACCGGCACATCTTTATAGCACATACACTCCCTTTGTTGTCCCCTACGTCCTCTTGCTGTTGTTCTTATTGTTCTCTTCCATTCTATGTGTAGGCATGTGCACTTTCATAAGAAAATATTTAAAAAAAGCGTTTAGCACTCATCCTCTCAAGTCACACAGTTATGGATTGTTGTTCATTCCCTCACCAGGAGAAGGAGAAGAAGACAAAGGCAGTGCGAGTATGCGCACAGCTTACCGTGAATACCTACGCTGAACTATAATTATAATTATATGCATACTCATTATGGAAACGAGTTAAGAGTAACTCTCCACTACCGCAACTAGATACTATATACAGACAGAAAGTGCAACAACTAGTTGTTGCACTTTCTGACTGTGGAGAGTTACTCTTAACTCGTTTCCATATGTCCTTTTCCTTTCTACTTTTATTATTGGCTCAATACCCGAGTTTCATACTCATTATCCGTGTGATAAAGTACCCATACTGCACACAGGACCGTCGGAAGCAGTTTTCGATTGGTTCGGTAGTTTCACTGCCTTTCATACAGTTTGTGTATGATGTGTTTGTTTGTTTGTTTGTATGCTTTATTTGAATTCGCAAATCCAAACGAGCACAAATGCTCAATGACAAGGCAGCGAATATATGGCGGGTACACATGCCCTCCTCAGTAGAAACCACATGTGGGTGGCTAAGGCGTTGGTCCGGTGATAACCTGACTAACCGGACCGGTTCTGGTGGCCCTGCACACTCACTTACAGCTCCTCCAGACGGCTGAGACTGGCGAATGCCTGGACATCCACCGACGTGATCTTATTCTGACTTAAGTTCCTGCAGAAAGGCGTCAAGGCAAGTAGAATGCACAGCTTGTAAAATATGTATCTGCACCTAAGCAAAGAAGTCTTCAGCAGGCCTGCATGGGGCATGGGGGCACGTGCACCCCCCCCCCCAACAATTTTGATCTAGGTTCAGCATGCACATAATGACCTTGAATGACATGCACGAGTCATCCTACACATATGCGGCCAGGCACCCCCCCCCCCCCCCCCTGCTCCTAAAAGGGGGACCAGCTACGCCCCTGCTTCAGGTTACCAGTAATACAGCAGCAGAAACCGGACCGCCGGAAGCAGTTTTCAATTGATCCTGTTGTATCACAGTCATTCAAACAGTTTGTGCATGATAGTAGGCACACAGTCATTCACTACTCAGCAGTAAACACGTGGTGATGGCCAACAAGTTGGTCCGGTGATGACGTGACCAACCGGACCGGTTGCGGCGGGTTTGCCAGAAACAGTTCAGTAGGGATAGTTCAGACATGTTGAGTAGCTTACAGTAATCTAAGGTTGGTGTTGCTTGTAAACCAATCACTGAACACAGAGGTGAGCTCATTCCGCGCCACGTCCCTGAAGGGGGAAACAAGATGCAGCAGATACACGTCATATTCAGGCAAATCCGGGGAAAAGAAGACAGCTGTGATCGAGGACTTGCTGTAACAGCCTGTGATACGCACACACACATGCACACACGCACACTCGCACGCACGCACACACACAATAAAACGCACACACACACACACAAACACATACTTACAGCATGCTCAAACCAGTCATTCCATGGGTGATTGCGTAGGTATCTTTCAACGTCCGAAGAGAATTATTCTCAAGATTTCTACCAGAGAAAAGAAAAGCGCACAGAAGCATGTTTTAAAAGCCCAAGTGGTCCCCAACCACACTGCATATTACATAAATAGAAGACACGAAACAACGTTTGTTGATGATTGCCATGTAGGCATGGCATTCTAGGTTGCAACTGATTCCGAATGGTCAATATTCTTCTAGGTGTGAAATGCCCCGCCCACAGTACACATGGAGAACTTTTTCAGCATCTGTTGCTACTTTTCCAGTAGCCAGTACACACCTACTAGTATCCATTGCAACATGGCAAATCCTGCACTCGACTGTATAGGTAATATTAGGTATACATTTGGTAACTTTGGAGGCTGATATTAGGACACGTATAATGTAACTCAGGCCCGGAGCCACCTCCTGTGTGTGTGGGGGGGGGGGGTGGTACGGCCCCAGGTCGGCTACAGGACCGACTATTTCCACATGCCCATTTTCAAAATCCTGGGATCCTACGTCTCTACATCTATGCATTATCTGTTTGTTTCAGCTGCACATTCCTCTAGAAAACAGATACGGCAGCTAGCGGAGTATACTTCACTGGACAAGAAGAACAGTTGAGGAGGTAGAGACTCTAGGAAGAAATGTTTGAGGATAGCATATTACTAGTACTTCCAGATAATCAAATTGCACACTGAGCAGCCCGTGAACGCTGGAATTGGTGAAAACTTGTACGGCCATGGCCGCACCAGCCGTACCAGTGGCGCGGGCCCTGTAACTAGCAACCTGGCTCGAGTCCTGGTGGTGACAGCGGGGAGAGGCACGAGGCATTCGACCATAACTGAAGTGCTCGGTTGACCATTGGAGACCTCAGGTCGGCCGAGTGCGCTGCATCCCAATACCCTTTTGCTCCTCAATTCTAAGCAGATTGGAACCCATGAGCACTCGTAGAGAACATAGAAACAGAGTATTTTAAAAGGCATCCACTGATTTGCTTACATTTCCGTAATGGTGGGACACTCAGCATAGTACTGTACAACACTGACCTGCAGATTTGCCAATAGTCTAAACATACATACCCACACATACACATACACACACATACACACACACACACACATACACACACACACGCACGCACACACACACACACACACACACACACACACACACACACACACACACACGTACACACACGTACACAAGAGCACACACACACACACACACGCACACACACACACACCAACATGCAAACATGGTTTCATACAGAAGACACGATCATTCAGTTTAGGGAAATTTCAGAAAAATCACACAGCGTGCCGTAATTATCCACTCAAGTTTTATGAGGGAGGCATCACAATCAACAATAGCTCTTCCTTACATTGATCAGCACTAGGTGTTTGTGCATGTCCAGCGGCCAATCCAGCGATCTCTACAGGGGGTGCCAGTATAGTCAAAACTGAATACTAGCTCATACATGTACATGGACACGAGTATGGTTTCCAGTAGTACATTTACGAAGTTCAGGGGTTTCCGCAGAACCCCTGGAACCCCTCCTGTATTCGCCCTGATATCTACATCAATCTCCTGAAGCAAATTGCAGATACATTCATACCTCGTTTATCCAGACAGTCCGGGACCGGGCACTGCCCGTAACTTTGAAACGTCCGTAACTACGAATTACATACTTCAAGTACATTTTCATGGGGAAAGACCATGGCATTTGAAGTCACTATTTCCACCAAAGTGCCAAAAGAGTAGTAATATTTCCACTGAAACTCGTCCAAAGTGTACCCGGTGGGCCAAAGTGCCCACAATTTTCGTGGTCCAGATGACCGAGGTATGTGTGTAGATGATGGGCACAAATGCATTGTAGCCAACCTTTTGAGCCCCAAAGTCAGCCAGGGGGCCTTTAACCTTGTAGTCTGTGTGCTGACAAGAAATCAGTCACTTTGGCTACTTGAGTAACGTTGTTTGTCAGTATAAAGAATAAAATTATTTTCCGAATTTTATTTTTTTTCATTGATTGGTGCAGCCGAGAGACCATTTGTAGAGTGTTGTGAAGATGTATGGGTATAGTGGATGGATACAGTGGAGTCGTCACATGCTGAGAAATGTCAGAATAAAATCCCAAAAATTGCATATGGTGAAATGCAAACCACTGATCCACTAACACGTACATCTTGGTGGAGCTACAGGAGACGGTAGCTAGGGCTGTGCAGCCACCACCAAACGCCGACGACTGTGTTGACGACATGCAAGCATCCGTGTATACAAACCAGCAGCCTTGATTGCCAGGTGGGCATTGAAATGATCCTGAAGTATATGCACAGTGGAAGAGATGAAAAAAGGACAAGAGTCCAGTCCAGGACGAACATGAAATATTTTACGCATAAGCAGACACACACGCATACACACAAATGCACACACGCACACACACGCACACATACGCGCACACATACACACACACACACACACACACACACACACACGCGCGCCCGTGCACACTCACGCATACACCTGTGTTTTATACCGATGTGCATGTGGGAAAGTGGCTCACCAAATCAATGTCACACATATTCAATTTCAATGGATCGTACTCCAGGCCAGAGAGTGCAGCCAATAGCTCAAGGGTTAAGACCCATTATGCAGTACACCACTATCAATGAACATAGATAAGCCACTCGGCAGCTCCACTACATGGTAGGAACTCAAGCGGGATTCACAGAAGGTTTTCTGTGATGCGGTGGGCGATGCGACGCGAAATACCATTCACAGAAGAAGTGAGCGATGCGACGACTGCTTCCTGATTTGTCGCGTAGTTCCATGCAGGTGGGTACGTCACCATGGTATTCGCGTATTTTGGTACAACTTGTACAAATTTACAGGCAACTATTGAACCTTTGTACAACTTTGCTGCAGAAAAAGTCAAAATCGTATGCCACATCGCCTGTCGCATCGCAAAACTTGTTGCGCAAAGCTCAACTTGTTGTTTTGTTGTTTTCTTTATTTGAATTCGCTAAAACCAAACGGACAGAACTGTCCAGTGACAAGGGAGCGAATGATGAGGGTCATAATCACTATGCATCAAAACATCTCAGGACAAAATGAGACAGACTATATTAAAGGAGGGTCTGCACAACACTTGTACATAAAGGGGAGTACGAGAACAAAGGCGCGGCAGAAGTCGAAGGAAGAAAGCAATCAACGCCAGAGATATTTTTGTCCACCAAAAACAGAGAGAGAGAGAGAGAGAGAGAGAGAGTGAGAGATCCGAGAGCGAGAGAGAGAGAGAGAGAGAGAGAGAGAGAGAGAGACAGAGAGACTAACAAATGAGGGCTAAGACCTCTACAACAGGGCTTTACGTCTGAAAACGACCGCACGAACTTCTGCGATGGCCCAATTGCGACAGTTTGCGTGGGCTGCTAAATGGCTACAATTTGGGAGTCTCCCGGTTTCGTGGCCGTCGCATCGGGCATCACAAATTGCTTCTGTGAATCCCGCTTCAGTCAGTCATGATGGAGCGTCTTCTCGATCCAGTCCATGCACCCTATCAGTACAATTAATTGATCTACTAACGCAGTTCATTATCCTGATGATGGGCCAGGCCCGAAAATTTGGTGTAATTTTAATTTTAATCGCAGTGAAGAGACCGGTTTGGAGTTGAGAAGTGACGTTTCCTAAATAGTAACACAGTCATGTTTCAAAATAGCTTTGCTCTGGCGAAAGAATGCTTTTGAACACTTCCAACCCTTCCCCCCACCACCACCTCTTCAAGTCACAGCCCACACCTCCCTGACAACCTTGAGCACAGGGTCAGCACACATTCCAGCTTGACCAGACCTTTCCGTAATAGTGTGTACTGCCAATTACAATCACTTATTGTTAATCAGAGTGAGTAATGTTACACACCATACATAATGCAACCCCCCCCCCCCACACACACACACACACAGCACATACCTAATCCTACTGAGCAGTGTATGCAATGGTTATAGTCATCACCACTCATAGCAATATGTGTCACTCCGCTTACATGCAATGCCCAACAGTACCTCACATTAACTCCAAACATACCCCCTCCCCCGGCAGATAACCAGTACTGCAGACCTCCATTCTTATCAGAGCTGTGCATTGTTAGCTGCCATTACCCTAATACTTATGGTAATACTCAGACTGATGAATATATTGTAATTATTATGTTCTTATGGTTAGTCTGAGGCACTGGTAGGGAAAGTGTAAAGACAAAATTGATTATGACCACCAGGACTTGAATCAAAGGCCGGCCAGCAATGCTCTAGTAACCACTGAGCTATGGTGTAGCTGCCATCCCAGCAGAGACCGATCAGTATCTCCCTGAGACTATGAAACTCAGGGCTCCTGTGATACTAGTCACACGACACAGGCTGGTGGGAAGCAGCCCTCGCCGTTCCCCCTTACTTCCCTATCACCATACCTAGACATTCAGGCTCGGAACCGACTTCATGCGGATAGTATATCACTGAGATTGGATCTGGCAAAGGTACAATGAGGCAGTGATCACGCTTCATCACGCTCTCAAAGAAATATTTTAATAAGGCAGCCACTGACAAGGGGCAATGCTGCACCTTTTCACTCTGTTTGGACAAGTAATGGCACAGCCCTCATTCAGCCAGGGGCTTTACAGTAGCGATTTGGACATAGTACTGTTAGGTACCTCCTCCCGTAGTAAAACCTGTGACTAACGATCACCCCTTGGGGCCGGAGAAAGTGATCTATAGTGGCAGGTGGTCCTTAGTTAGAGGTTTGCACTGCACAACCATAATACTTTGAAGTAATTATTATGGATGTGAGACCGTCCTTGCCTGGCGAAGTGGTCTGTAGTACCAGGCTGGTCGCTAGTCACGGTGGTCTTTAGTTACAGGTTTTACTGGAATAGCAATTAGCAAGACGTTACTATGTCCTACCCCATGCTAGCCACGCTGCCGCATGAAACTAATGGGTAAATTGCATAGTTTTCCTGGCGAGCGTCGTGCAAAACCTAGTTCCACTTCTCTTGGGTATTGGTCCTATTACCATTCTTCACATCTACTTCCACCATCGATCATTCTTTGTCCGTCGATCACTTCGTTTCAAAAAGGCTGATTTCAAAATGTACTTTTGTTTGCGACTAATTCTACTTCTTTTTTACTAATGCTATCGGATTTCAGTGTGCAGCACAGACAGTACTGCAACTGAGGGGAGCATTTTCACCCATCAGATGCTCAGAGTTTGACTCCACTTGCAGAACATCTTGAACGCGAACAATACTTGCTACAGTATGAAACGATTTCACACATGAGCGAATCCACCTTTGCTGAGCACCGCATCCAGCTTTTGTATGTTGCCTTTGTGCCAGCTCATCACTTAAAGTCTTTGGCAGATTGCTCAATCTTCATACAGCTATGCATACAGGTAACTGTGTTACCTTACTCGATTCTATTCACTATTATTGTCGGCAATTCAAAGCTCTACAAGAGCTTTTAGCAGCCCATTCATTCTGGATCCAGGCCAGGGTGTATGAACCCAGGAGTATAAATTCCTGTAGGAAAGCTGATATCAGCCCAATTATCCCTGATCAAGGCAGGGAATGCAAACTCAATTACTAGTCAAGCAGAAAGCAAACCTCATCTACCAATTTCATCAGACCCTATCAACTTCCAGGCATTCAAGCGCTACAGGATTGGAATTTTCTCACAATAATGCGACGAAACCAGTGCGGTTAGTCAGGTCATCACCGGGACCACCCCAGTGGACAACAAGTAAACTGTGTTCAGTGGGCCTGCGGGAAGGGCCAAGGTTCGGAGCAGCCATCTTCTTCGCAAGCTACGGCCGACTTGACAACACATTAGTTCAGACCTTTTTTCAGGTCAACAACATGACTATTGTTCAACAACAAATTGGACGGTCAGTTACCTTACTGTAGTGTTCCAGAGCGGTCCCAGCTACGGTCAAGGTCCCAGCTACGGTCAAGGTCCCAGCTACAGTCAAGGTCCCAGCTACAGTCAAGGTGCCAGCTACGGTCAAGGTCCCAGCTACGGTCAAGGTCCCAGCTACGGTCAAACTACAATCACCCCTTCACCAAGCTCTGTCCAGTTTGATTTATGCTACGTGCACGGTGTGCATTCTTTCTACACTCAAATCAAATTACGATATTGCTTCCACTCCATACTGTCAGCCGCCCTAAGCGTGGCATAGAAATGCTCAGAACCTGGGGCAAATGTCACACAGATGCTGGCTGAATGAAGTACTACTATCTCTGTAGCTGTGCGCGGCAACTTCATATTGCACTGCTTGGAAACTTGGCAATTGTGACGTAAGGGCAAGAAAGAAGGGGGGAGGGGGACAAGCTAAGGTGAGAGGCAACAGTGCAAACGTGTTCTTGTTGCAGCAGAGGCAGTACATTCACCAGGGCAACTACAGGTGCTTGTCAAAGCCAAAGAATGAAACTTAATCCTAGCCCACACCTTGGTTTGCTCCAGGGCACACTACCATCGAGGCCATTGCCATTGGCCGCAGCAGAGGAGTGAATGACAATGGGGCCCCACTAGAGGATTGCATGGAACGTGTAATGCTATCTCATCCACCAAAGGGGTATATTTAAAATGGTATGCACATACCACCAGTATGCGGAGTTCCAGGAGGACAGGAGTAGCTACAGCCACCATCACTACGACACTAGTGCTTAGACATGCTCTGCATCTGCTGCACCATACTCACACACAGAGCACTTGCAACTTAACCCTGCAGGCCTACTCAGTTTAAGATCTTGGCCTAAATCTAGCAGAGTACGCACATGATGACCTTGAATGTATGCAACGGCCAAGTGCACTGTACTTCATCTCAAGTGATGGTCACTCAAAGGAAGTTGCTAGCTCTGTACAAGATCTCACACAATCTTGTACTGGTGTAATAATAGTATGTAAGCCTTGCTTGATAGTTCAGCAGGTATAATGATGACTACACAGCACACTATGCTCCATACAGTGTGTCGTGTGTCCTCCACATTGTGCTATAATTATGCTGTTATTATCATACCAGAATCATACAGTGAATGAAGAGAGCTAAGCAACACAGGCGCGCAGTTCATGTATAGTCAGCATAGTCCGGTGGGTAGCCACACCAGCAAATGTCTGTCACAGGTACTACTACATAGGCAACATAGGCAAATGAGATTGTTGCCAGTGATACCTGTGATTGGTTACCAAATCACAGATGGGCCAGATATGCCCCTGCAGCAAAAGAACCAGTACCGTAACTCTAATTCTACAATGAATGGAGAGATGGAGCTATAATAAAGAGACCAGGATCTTGTGAATGGAGTGAGATGACCCAGCTGCACAGAGGCCACCACCATAGATCAGCCCAGAGCCATTTGACACATCCTCCAGCTGGATTTGCATAGGCCGTGTGGCCCATTACTGCATTAGCATAGCAGCAGTCCTGCAGGCTGCAGGCCTGTCCAGGGCGTGGGCTGCTTGCTATGCATTGCAAAGTGTCAACCAACAGCAAGATCTCGCTACTAGTACTACACCAACACTGCAACACTACACCAAAACTGCAACAGGTCATGCTGGCATATGCTACTTATGTCTATAGATGCCATACTGTACTGCCACTTGTGCTTGAATACAGTGTACAGTCTCCCCCCCCCCCCCCCCCCCCACACACACACACACACACACACACACACACACACACTCAGACACACCATACCTTAACCTGTACAGCATGCTAACCACGTGCAGCCAAGCAGCATAAACAGTCCATGCAACAACCAGCCCCACAGCTAGGCCCATACTGTATTTCACGATTGTGCCACACAGGAACGAACATGAAGAAGAAGGACGACATTACACGCTGAGGGAGACGACATGGGAAAGTTACCAGCACACAGTTTAACCCGTTGCATGCGCCATGTATAGAATTTTACCCCACACGCTGTTAAAAGTGATTACACTGGTGCACGCCTAATGGCAGAGGGGTATGATTGGGGAAATGGCGACTTGGAGCATATAACTCTGTTCTTTTTCCCCAACTTTTGATTGTGATATATTCCAACTGATGAATATCACAAGAAAACGTTCTTGGAAACTTTGGACCGACCTCTCTTTCATGTGCCATGAGCCATGAGTGCGCCTTTGATACTGTTCATTACGGACAGCTAGCTGCTTGTGGCTTTATTCAAATTTTTATATTCTGTGTGTTTGACGTCAGGGTTTGTCCGTGTGAAAATACTGATGGTGGAGAGTACATGTACATGTATATCCGGGCAAATGACGAGTTGGAGTCCGTACGATCTGTGTTTTGATGCCAGGGTTTTCCCCACAGGAAAATATCGTCATGCATCAATGTACCATGACAGATAACTAGAGATGACCAATAGAGTAATGTTCCGACTTGTTGGTCTCGTGCGCACGTGTGAGGCTAGTTTCTTTGCCGACACCCAGTGGAAGAAGGTTTGTCTTTGACAAGGGAAGGCATGGATTGGAATGCATTAGACTTTCTCATTAGCACAGGGAGGAAGGGTCATGACAAGGTGAAAAGATAAAAATGTACACCATTGGATGCATAGAGGCATCCATACACCATTGGATACATGGCAGCTAGGGATCTTAAACACCTCCTGCGCTCCATAGAAGGAGCTGACTACTCTTATTTCCCGCTACAACCCAACCCTATGTTCGAATCATGAGGACAAGAAACAGGAAAGAGCATAGATAACTTAGGGGTTCGAATTCCAAAGTTTGGCTTTACTGGACTTCGTGAGCCTACTTTCCCTGCTAGACCTTCTTCAGGAAATGTCATCACTGATTCCTAAGTTTAACTGCACATCCACTTTGATTCGATGGTGATTTCATGTTAATATTAAACAGACTTAAGTTACATGCTGGAGCAGAGGTGCAAGACTATACACATCGTCATGCGGAGTGTACGTTTTGACACCAAGCTCCCCCTATCCGCCTCACTCATGCCCCACAGTTCCGGCATCTTCATCGTCACATCATCGCTATCATAATAATTATAGGGCAGGACGGCATGCAATGGAAAATAAAAAAAACAGCAACAACGCTGTTGCAAGAACGCCCAGGCGCGAGAGATCGTGTCACGGAACACGAGCCGGGTCTTTCCACCCGTCAAACACTTTTGTTCGCAATGATTTCATCACATGAACACGACGTCAAAAATGACGTTTTCAGGACCTTATCAGTAATCACTGAGAGCATCCCATCATTGCCGATATGAAGAGGAGAGATGGAAAGCTTACCTTTCGCTCCTAGCGATGGAGTGCTGGCCAGGAGAAGGCCGACAAGACTAGCCACGATTGCACAGTGCCATCTCCAACACGACTCGACGCCGAACGCCCGCTCGCTTCTGCTATTTTTCTCCAGACCGCATGCTTCTTCCGCCATTCTCGCAGCCTCAGGATTCATTCACCGACCACTAGGATTCATGAATACTGCATCCAACCAGACAAGAGGGCATCTACACAGCACACCGAAGTCTCCGTCACACTTCAACCGGCTCAGCACCGCGTTGGAATCGAAAAAATGGTTTGGTAAAAGAACAGCGAGAGAAAAACACTACGCTACGCTAGAACAGTACAGGTATGATGTGAGGGCGAACATCGCTTGATGTGGATCTTCCTGAGATCAGAGAATACCATAAGGCATAACTGCTACTATGTTACTGCCACCACTTGGCTAGTTCTCACACCTGAACCTCGCAGAATGTCGAAACGCACGCACTCACGCGCACGCGCTCGCAGGCACTTGCCGTCAGCGCTGCAGAGCGCGGCGCGAAAAGGTCGCCCTCTAGCGCCAAACCTTGCACCTACTCAGTGGGTCTACACTGCAGCGCCTGCAGAAATCCTCTACTTCTGCACATCGACCGGCCTCGAGCCGTTCCTACAACAGGAATCGGAAGTAGTGTTTGATGACCGTCGTGTAACTCCAGGGCTTTCGAGGCTCGTGCTCGTACCCGCAATTTGCAGGTATTTAACTCTGTTGAAGTAGGCAGACTGGAGAGAGGACATGAGATGAACGAGCCAAGTGGACGAACTGAAGTCAAAAACAAATTTCCATTGTGGCGTCAAGGACGCTGCTCAATGAGAGAGTAATCAATTGCCAGAAATATATCCTAGCATTGACCATGCTATTGTCGAAGGTACTTGATCCTCTTCACGGCCTCTCTTCTCAGCTACAAGCATTAAATCCCGAAGGGACGGATCTGTGGAGCGTATCGCAGCTGACCCTCCTTTGTCAGATTTGAAGAGAGTTGCTGACTGTGCCTTGTGTACAGCCATGTACTTGTACATGGCTGTACATATTATATACAGCCAATACTTCAAAATAGAATTTTGTTAAAACGGTTTCGAAGAATTGGACTAAGAAACCGATAGGACAGGGAATGAAACCAGCGAAATTCCGAGTTCGAATCCTCGTATTGTCGAGTCCTCGTATACTTTTTCCAATCAAACATTCTACTCTGCGTCCACTTCTGGCACTTCACCACCGTCGCGTTCTGCGGCCGACCAGGCGACCACGCATTCCCCACAACAGCAACAAGAGGTTCCTTCGGAGTACTGAAAATACTTCGATTATTATTATTAAGCTTCCGTGGAGATAAAAATGTAATCAACGCAATAAATAGAGTAAGCTGCGCACTCAGTACAAACACCATAAGCAAAACTTGTTTTCATGTAAATAAAGAAGCTTGTTCCTAAACGTTTTCGTCGCCATCTCATCAGAGGATTACTGGCAAATCAACAATAGCTCTTAACTCAATATATATACGCACAATGCAAGTAATAATTTAGACCCTAACTAGCGCGATAAAATGAGAGCTGAAAGAAACATTACACCATTCAACGATATGAGGTGACAATAGATGCGATAAATTCACCACTAGAAAGTTACCATGCAACCACAAACGAGAACTACTGATCTAAATTCACAAACAATTTCAACGTAAACAAATTCTTTTTCTGCCTACACAAAATCGGCTTAGTGGTAAAAATGTAGATAGACTCCAATACACGCAAATACCTTTGACTACGTGAACGAGACCAAACAGAAAAGCACTCATCAGCATAACTAGAACGACAATCACTATTCTGAACAAGATGGTTGGCAACAGAAGATTCATACACCCTAACACCGCTACTAGAACCAGTACATACTTTGGAATTACGTGACAATGAAACCGACGTGACATTACTTGCCGCTACTGCCAATCCAGACGAGGCCGATGTAGATGTCAGTACCAAAGGCACATCCGTTACTGGCACTGCCTGCTGCGATGATGCTCCCTTTGACGTTCCAATGGCTGTTGATGTTGATGAAGAGGAGGAGGGAGATGAGGAAGACGCTGACGACGACGATGACGACAACGACGGAGACGATAAAGACTCTGCTAACCTCGCCCTAGAGCGAGTCACTGGTCCCGCAGACACACCATCCGGTGGTTTCTTCGGTGGCCGGCCACGCTTTTTGCCACCGGATGACGGTACCAAGGAAGTCAAAGAAGACGAAACCGCAGATACCAACGATGATGACGGGATATAAGGAAGAGACGGTAAAGACGAAGGCAATGACGAACAAGCCGATGCCGACGAAGAAGACAACGACACCCCAGTTGGTTCCGTCCCCAGCGAGGGTGCACCTCCGGTCGCAGTACCAATCTTTGGGGGACGACCTCGTCTAGGCCTTGACGACCGTGCCTCAACAGGCATAACGTGAAGAGGCACATGCTGGTGGATCCGTGCCTCCAGGTGCTGAAGGGTCCTACCCACATACCGGCTCTCACATTGCCGGCACTCGAAGTTGTAAATAAGATGTGATAATTTAAGAGTGGGTAGGACATCCTTCTTCACCATGAAGGCACGAGCTGTTGTGTAGACGAACCGGACACTAACATTACGAAAGTTCGATTCTACAGCTGACTTAACTCGACGTTGCATGGTCCGGCAAACAGCTTCACCCTTCCAAGGCAAACGAAGATAAACCGGAGTGGCCTCGGAGGACACTTCCTTCGCTCCACCCAGTGTACTAACTACGACATATTTAGATATCACATATTCCGGGTACCCATTTAAACGAAACAAAGTGCGTAGCCGCTCCAGCTCCTCATCCAACTTTGAAAGCGAACATAATCGACGAGCACGATCCACTAGATTACGAACGAGATTAATTTTGTACGACCTCGCAGTAAACGAGTCCCAAACAATGTACAAGCCGGTGAACGTTGGTTTCCGGTACACTGATGTAATTACACCACCCATACCAGACTTCTCTACAAGAACGTCCAAGAAGGACAATTTACTAGCCGATTCAAACTCACAAGTAAACTTCAGTGACGGGTGCAGCTTATTCAATAATTCAAGAAACTCCTGCGCGTCGCTCCGAGACTGAAAGTAGGACCAACTATCGTCAACAAAACGACAATACACCGCAGGCCATTTACATTTGGGGACCAATGATTCGCAGTAACCCACAAATATATTTGCAAGAACTGGACCCAACGGTGAACCCATCGCGACACCATCTATCTGACGATACATAACATTCTCAAACGAAAATTCAACGCCAGACGTAACCATATTCATAAGACGGCGAAAGTACGTCTCTTCGATAGTAACAGGAGAACCTACATTACCACGGTACATAGCATCACAGCAAATATCAATCGTAAAATCCAAAGGTACGTTCGTGAAAAGACTCACAACATCAAACGAGCACATAAAGAATGTCTCCGGGAATTCGTGATCATGCAAAAAGTCGGCAAACTCAAAACTATCCTTGACTACATATGTACTGTACATGTCGAGAACAGGCTGTAACAAACGACAAATCCACCTCGACACTTTGTACTGCGGTGAACCACACATGGACAAGATCGGACGAACTGGACAACCAGCCTTGTGAATTTTGGGTAAGCCATACATGCGCGGTCGCGCAGAACCAATTGGACTAAATGAATCCGACTCAGTCTGCGTGATCTGCTTCAGCAATACTAACTCTTTAAAATAGTTGCATAATTGTTCCTCTATTTTAGCCGTTTTATCATGTGTCTCAATGGGCCCAATGACAGTAAACTTCGAACTATCGTTCAGGATGGTATGTGTCTTCGTGATGTAGTCATGCTTGTTCATAATGACGGTAGCCCTTCCTTTGTCAGGTTTGGTTATTACAATTTTGTTGTTACTCCGCAATTCTTTCCGTACTCTAAAATGTTCACGGGTTAGTGTAAAACATGTCGTGTCATTGCTAGACTGGATGTATTGGTTCGCAATGTCAGCCAGAGAGGTTGCGCACACCGACGCTGATCTGTTTGTCTTCGGTAGTGATGAGGACAGGCGATCATAAAATACCTCAAAATCAGCCATAACCTCTTCTCGGTTAGTTTTAGGCGGCAAACCGAAACTCATACCTCGGCATAGCAGCTCTTTCTCAGCAGACGAAAGTGTATAGTCAGACAAATTGATAATGAATTTATCATTACAATGAAACGAACCAAAACGGTCCTTTCTCAGCAGCTCAATTTGGCACGCATACTTCATTATTATTATTATTATTATTTTGCTTGTTCGCGTTGGCATCAACCTGCATAAAGCAGGTATATAGCCTTCGCTTAAAGGGGAAGTTAAGGCAAAAATAAAAATTTCACCAGTTGTAGTCTTCGGGGTGCTGAGTCGAATGGTCGTGGTCCGAGGAAGCTGAGACGCTCCCTTCCTACTTGAATCCCAATCGAACTCGCGCACTTCCACCGAAACTGGGTGACTGCGCCCTACTAGATGGGGATTTGTATGCAAAATGTCACTAAAAGCGCCATTTCGTTCTTATAAAAGCACGGATGACCGCGACTGGCCCATATGTTGTAGTCTTTTGGACGCTGAGTCGACTGGTTTTGGTCCGAAAAGGCTGCGATGCAGCGTTCCTCCTTTATTCCCAATCGAACATGGTTGAACAAGCGGTCACGTGCTCCTGCGTACGCCAGTCACCTGGTCACCGTGCCTGCAGGGTACAACTTACTAGCCTGTTTGACCTTTTTTGGGTGCAGTCCTGTCACTCGAGTTGAACTCGAGTTGAACCTTGGTGTGAAAGTTCTCACCTGCTGGCGTGGTGACCCGGTGATTTGGGCACCCAGGAGCACGTGACCGCTTGTTCAACCATGTTCGATTGGGAATAAAGGAGGAACGCTGCATCGCAGCCTTTTCGGACCAAAACCAGTCGACTCAGCGTCCAAAAGACTACAACATATGGGCCAATCGCGGTCATCCGTGCTTTTATAAGAACGAAATGGCGCTTTTAGTGACATTTTGCATACAAATCCCCATCTCGTAGGGCGCAGTCACCCAGTTTCGGTGGAAGTGCGCGAGTTCGATTGGGATTCAAGTAGGAAGGGAGCGTCTCAGCTTCCTCGGACCACGACCATTCGACTCAGCACCCCGAAGACTACAACTGGTGAAATTTTAATTTTTGCCTTAACTTCCCCTTTAAGCTGCCATAAAAAAGAAAGCTCATCCTAAGCGAGAGGGCTAGAGGGAAATATAACGATAACGAGATACAGAATACAAAGAAATCCAATGAGTTCAACGTACAATTCAAAACAAGAAAGAAAGGAAAGAAAAACAGAGCCGAATCCACCGATTGATCCATCAATCGACAAAGGGGACTAATCCGTTAGTGTTGCAAAGTAGAAGCTGATTATAGTTGCAGATCTCCAGGCCAGGGCCAGCATATTGCCGATTCTGGATAGGTCTCCGCAGCATTTGATGTGGTAATTATCATAATGTTTGATAAAATTGTTAGAGTATCTAGTATCTAGAGTACCGAGTATCTAGTATCTAGAGTATCTAGTGTAATTGTATCCGTTATTATTGTTGAGGGTATCTAGTGTAATTGTATTCGTTATTATTGTTAAGGGTATCTAGTGTAATTGTATAACTTCAGCCATTACACACAGCACACATTAGTTCCTTCCACTTTCGACGATCCTGGGCGAGCTGCCTCAGTGCAACTAGATCCTCGTGTGATGTGAGGGAGTTTGTGGATCTGGAATTTTTCAGATCGTTGTTGATGGATCGCGGGAGTGTTGTTCTCGGGCGGCCTCGGAACCCTGAGCTTCCTGGCTGAAAGTATGCTGACATAGCCTGCTGGACCGGGGATGAGGTGTCTAGTCGAAGCATGTGGCCAAACATTCTCCACCTAGCAGACTGGATGATTCTGCTGAGTGGCTTGGAGCCAGTGCGCTTGTACAGTGCTTCATTGCGTATTATACGGGGATATTTGACCCCTATGACTGCCCGTAACTGCTGGCGGTGGAACGAGTCAAGTTTCTTTTCTTGAGTCTCTGTCAGGCTCCATGTGCCGCAGTTATAAAGAAGTATTGGGAGAATAAAGCTGCCGTATAACCTAATCCGAAGGGGTTCACGGGCATGGTTACCTCTTAGCCATATCACCCACAGCTGATGTAAGGCGCATGTTGCTAGACGTTTTCTCCGACTGATATCTTCCTCCACTCCAAGCATCGATCCTAGTTTGACCGTGTTCCGCCATCGCTCGTCTACTCTGTCCTTTTCTCTTTTAATTGTAGTATATTCGGTTTTGGCTTCATTCATTTTTAAATTGTATTCCGCTAACGAGGATGATAGTATGGGTTGATTGTCATGCAAATATTGTAGGCTGGTGCTGATGAAGTCTACGTCATCCGCATACGCTGTTTCATTGGGCAATTGAAGCTGAGTATCCAATGCTGGTCGCGGTGAGAGTCGTTCTTACTTCGAAGTATTTTTAATTCCTTCCGACAGCTGTTTCGATCAGAAAAGGTTGAGTTGTTGAATGACTGGAAAAGAAAGAATTACCTACAAATGTACATGTACGTGTATTTTATAGCGACTCTTGAAACAAGAGATGGCGCGTAAGGTGCAAAGGTAGGCCGAACTACATGAGTATTTCGCTCCTGCTCTTGTAGCAGTTGAGCACTCTTGTGGGGTAGTGCCTTTGCTGTTTGCGTTATGCAGAGCTCACTGACTTGTCAGTTTGAGCACTCTGGCAAGGTACGTTCGGGTCTGGTTTAATCCGGCTTGGGAAAATTTATTTTTCATTGCTACCAGGTTCGGCCTCATTTCCTCTGTCCTGCGCTGACGAGTCCACCAAGGACGAAACAGTTCTGTCCGCAGATTGAGTACTTCGCTCCTGCTCTTGACGAGTCTTGTAGCAGTTGAGCACTCTTGCGTGGGGTAGTGCCTTTGCTGTTTGCGTTATGCAGAGCTCACTGACTTGTCAGTTTGAGCACTCTGGCAAGGTACGTTCGGGCCTGGTTGAAATCTGGCTTTGGAAATTTTATTTTTCATTGCTACCAGGTTCGGCCTCATTTCCTCTGTGCTGCGCTGACGAGTCCACAAAGCAGAAAGGACGAAACAGTTTTGACCGCAGATTGAGTGTACATATTGTATATTTCAACTAAACAGTCAGCAAGGAGACAACAATTTATTAAAGTTGTTACCACTTGTGCCATTCGGATACTTAGCCAGTAAAACATTTAACGTAAAATGGAAGAAAACACAAGGGAACGAGTTGTGAAGCAACTAGTCTATCCACTACTGCAACATGGTTAGACCTCCATTGTACATGTACATATAGGCACCGGCGGATAATGCTCGAAAAGGTGGCAGATTCTGCTCTAAAAGCAGTGAAATTGGCAGAACCATACAAACCTTATGGCGGGCAATTCCTCGAATTCTGCTCCATTTCTTTATCCACATACCAAACATGCATGAAACTTACCAGAAAAAGTACCGAAGTCTGCCAATTTTTCTGCCAGCAGAATCCGCAAAGGCATCCGCATGTACGTGTACATGACACACGTAGGTCTCAGGTCGTTCAGCGTCTCTAGTAGCTTGTTAGTTTCGTGCTCTGTTATCGCACTTTCTGACTCAGTGACTGCTTACAATCTTGTTACATTAGTGGATAGTTGCTTCATATATCGTTCCTTTCTGTTTTCTTCTATTTTACTTTTATGATCCATTCTCAATTTTTCTGTTGCTGATACACACATGTCCCGCTAGTTCTAATACCCTTGCTTTGTGCACACCTGTGTGAGAAATCACACCTTGATATTTTCGGGCTGTCATTGTACCCTGGTTACTCAACCTTGATTTCTTTATACATGTATGTTCCGTTGTTTTTACTTGTTCTTTAGTACAACGTGATTCCTGAAGGGCGTTGGGCGAAAACTTGCGCGAATCATCTTTTTCCATCGTTTTTTCTTCATACATGACTTGTTTATTCTCGTTTCCGGAACTTCTATTCATGGTTTTCAGTAGGAGATTCACTTGAGACAACAACTGCATAAATATGTATGTATGCCTTCGTGCATAGCAAATTGCACAGTATTATTGGACTAAACTGACTTGTGCGTGTGGTGCATTATCAGGACTGCAGTCTGCGGGTGTAGTATTGTCATTGCAGTATTGCCGGCAAAAATAAGACAAGAAAATAGAGCCAGTGGAGTAGACCACCACAGGCATGGGTGCCAGCTCGCAGGGACCTCGTTATTCTCCCAGTTTGCCTAAACCGCTTTTGTACCGAGCCAAAGATCTGGATCTTACTCCTGATTCTTAATCTATACTACATTATCCTCTCTATTCTACTGTATATGTACACATATTCGTTCACGAAATCTTTCGTTAGATCACTCCACCAGCAGGCTTGGTACGTAGTAAATTTCGTTTTTGGTCGTAACCCCGAACGTTCAGAAAGAAAACTTTAGTTTGGTACAAACTTTAGCTACATGTATTTCGTGTCCCCTAACGAATGTACAGTCAACATTGCGTATAACGACACTCGGCCGTGCATCAGTAAAGTGTCCTTATTCGCGAAGGGTCGTTATACCCGAAGTCTTATTATATGTATACAGTAGGTGTATGGACTTTGCTCTGGGCATGGAAATTCTGTCGTTATTCGCGAATTGTCGTTATTAGCGAAGCTGACCAGTGCGGCGAAAATTTATTCCAAACGAAAATTTGTACTTGTACAGTGTATATCCCTTTCGTGCCTGTTTTTTCTCCCCTCCCAATTCTCTTTCTGCCATCTCCTCTTCTACGTAGTCTCCTTGTGAGAAGGCACCATTGTCTGTTTGGTTGAACGACTATAATAAATAAAAGCACAAACAAACAAACGTGACTACAGCAATGAATATAAACCTTATCTCAGGATACATACATGTATGGGCTCTGCAGAACTGAGAACTGAGCTGACTAGATAACTAGGACAAAACAAAAAACACCACAAAAAAAACACCACAAAACACACCAAAAAACACCACAAACAAAGGAACAATGCTACCATAACCAGGCAGCTCCTCAAGTTAGTGTACAATAACACCACAAACACCAAAAAAACACCACAAAAAAAACACCACAAACACCAAAAAAACACAACAAACAAAGGAACAATGCTAACGTTATCATAACCAGGCAGCTCCTCAAGTTAGTGTACAATGATCACCAGGACTACAATGAGTGCTTAAAATGATTGCATGCAACAAAGATGAGACCATAAGACGATGTGGTGCGAGCTAGTGAAAGAACTGCAACAGAGAACTGTTCAAAAAAGAGTTTTCCTGGTAAAGTAAGTATGCAAGTCATGTTTTAGTAGTTACTTTGTTAATAATGTCCGCATCTACAAACAACCTCAATAACCATGGTTGCTTTGCCAGCAACAGCAGCCTTGCACGAAGATGTGGTCGTCCGAGTGCTAGTAGCTTCACTGTACGCAGGGCAGTTCGTAGTTGTAGTTACATGTATGATGGCCAGTGTTCAAACAGTCTTCGAGTACACAGCCTTACAGGGCATTGGCATGGCAACCTGTAGATCCATAGTAAAATGCACAGTGGAATCAAGCACACAGCATTATTGTGCAGAATGTGAGTTATTTATTTACATGTATAAGTTTGACGGAGATGAAACGGGAAAGGCTTGAAGGAAAGTACGTGCCTTTGTGTTCAAGCCGTTTACCAAATCAAAGAGCTAATCAAAGTAGCATAGCCAGTAGCTGGCAATGGCCTTTGGTGTTCTTCCTTCTTTCCACGTCGTATTGTTTGAATAAACCCGTTTTAGTCGCAACCACTATTTCAAACCCGTTTTTTCTGATTTCTACCCTGCATACTGTACGCGAAGGACTGACCCTCGCTAAAATATTTACCGACTTTAGCTGGCAGTGGCCTTTATTGTGATTATCATCATACATGTATACACAGCTATCTTTACTTCCCTCTGTTGATTTTTAATTTTGATATTTTTTTGCACTGAACTTGAATCCTTTCTATATTTCACCATACGAACTATGTTATTGTTATGTTAACGCATGAGCTGATTGTTTAGTAACTGATGGTGTTAGTGGACATTATAGCGCAACCTGTAGTTCCTTGGGCCTTTTTTCTTTTTGTGAACTATAAATAAGTGGCACAAAGAGCCTAAAGTGCACAGAAACCCTTACGGTAAACAGGCACACCAGCTTTCCCATAAGATGGTGGCCGAGACGCATAGCATGCTTGCTAATGCATTTCAATATCCGCGGCATTCGCTCCGTCGTCCCTGGGAAACACAATGCCAATGGAGAGGAAAATCAAAGAAGCACACACGTGTAGTTGGAAAAATGAGTTTCAACAGCTCGAGAAAGTCTGCTTCTAGTACAATACGGTGCACTAAAGAGCTCTGCACAAAAATAGGAAAACTTCCAGTTGCTACTCGCCATAAACCGTAATTGCACGACAAGGATTATGTACTCCCAAAATACTGATCACAGGTCATGCCATGAACAGGATTGTCTACAAAGTATGCACGACTACCAGTGTGTGTGTGTGTGTGTGTGTGTGTGTGTGTGTGTGTGTGCGTGTGTGTGTGCGTGTGTGCGTGCGTGTGCGTGTGAGTGTGTGCGTCCGGAGGCGGCAAGATCCGGATCGCCACTTGGAGCATTGCCTTCCTCCCCACTAACCTCTCTGACAGTACCTCCCATCTGGGAGCGGCGTGGCCAATTCTGGCAGCTGTCAATAGTAGTAGTAGTAGTAGTAGCAGTAGTAGTGTGTGTGTGTGTGTGTGTGTGTGTGTGTGTGTGAGTGCGTGTGCGCAAAACAGGCACCGACCCCACTCTTCACTGAAATGCTAGATGGGTGAATGCTGGTTCGGATATTATGGCTTGACCAAAGAGATCGCTCCCAGCACGCCTGTCACTGCGAAATTCATGGGCTCATACCTACAAAACATTTTCCGACACCATCCATGATTCCAGATTAGGTAACCAAGGAATGCCAATAGATGCAGACTGGAAGCTAGTGTTGCATATGTAGCCATTATTGTGGTTGACATGTTTCCGTTATCGTGCTGATCTATGTATGTAGCCGTTGAATCACTTCCTGCACAGTGCAAGATCAGGAGAAAATACCTGAAGTCAGTTCAAAAATCTATGGAATTACAATAGCAAATTCAGCCCGTATCTCTCTCTGTGTCTCTCTCCCTCTGTGTTAGGCCTTTGCGGATTATGCCGGCAGAGAAATTGTCAGAATTCGGTACTTTTTCTGGTAAGTTTCATGCATGTTTGGTATGTGGATAAAGAAATGGAGCAGAATTCGAGGAATTGCCCGCCATAAAGTTTGTATGGTTCTGCCAATTTCACTGCTTTTCGAGCAGAATCTGCCACCTTTTCGAGCATTATCCGCCAATGCCTACTCTGCGTCTCTCTTTGAGCAATCCTAACACAATCTGAACATAACACATCCGTGCAAAGAGAGTCATATGGCGGGTATATACTTGTGAGCGGGACTGACTAATAGTGACTACTGAAGTATAAATATCACAGTGAGTGTCATGTCCTCATCATCATCAGCCTTTTTCGCATTGGCATCGCCAAGCAAGCTTGACTAGTATTCGCTTAGGCCAAATGGAATAAAGAATGAGGAACGAGCGGGGTCAATGAGGTGCTAATACACATGCAAATGCAGAATAGGCAAGAGCGACAAGTTTACATCAAAACAGTCCTAGACACACCCGAACTGTCATGTACCAGATCCAAGAATCCAGACACGTTATTGTTTCACTGAACAACTCACTCATGCCTGTTGTGCCCGCTGAAGTCGACACCACCTCGACTGGTCCTGCGGACGGTTTTGGTGCTGCCATTGGCATTTCTGTGGTATTCATTTGCGCTGTGGCTGCTGTTGAGTGTTGTAGATCAGTCACACGTTTGCATAACCATGAGGCACATGATGCACATCATAGGCAAAGTACAGTGAAACGTGTAACTATTACCAAGACGGTGGCTGGCGATCAGCCTGGTACTACACACCACTTAACCAGGCACGGACGGTCTTACATTCATAATATTCATTATTATGGTTGCGCCTTGCAAACCTCTAAAATATTGACCACCTGCAGGTACGTAGCCAGGATAGTGATCAAGGGGGGGGGGGGAGGGGGGAAGGCACAACTTCCCCACATTAAGTTATGCACCTTACATGTATGTTGGGCCTTTCATGCATATTATTAATTTGATCCGTGATATGGGCAAGTGGGGGAGTGGAGTGGGGGGGGCAAAATTAGCCCCACATTTGATGCTGAAGATCAATCAGTGAATGGCAAACCTCCAACCAGGGAGTAGTGACATGATATGTTACTACTCTCTGCTTGCAACATCGTGTTTGATAGTATAGTGCAGTAAGGAATCATTGATGAAATCAACACTATTTCCCACAAAAAGACACAAGCTGCACTTCAACGCTACTTTCACTCTTCTGCTGCTGTATCCACACTTGCAATACATGAAAGACACTTTGCCTTTCCACAACCTCCAACGCGACCAATCAACAGCCAGAACTGCATTATACCAAAAACAGCGCGACCAAACTGCTATATCTGACGTGTGTTTTCCAAAGACCGTATTGCTACTTCTACCCATGGCGTGTTTGTATGATTCTTTGCTTCTAACAAAACACGTGGAGTGCGATACAAATCATGTGCTGAGCCTGCTTAGGTCTGACTTGACACAGCATAACGGCAGGTTCGAAGCGGAGTTGCCCTTGACTAGAAATGTCATTGCAAAATGGCCAATCACGAGACAAAATAGTCAACTGAATTTGGATTGGTTTCAGATACATTGTATGTCTGAGCCAGGGAGGAGTACAATACCTACTTTCCCCAGGTCTGAACAGGGATAGCTAGTAGCCTACAGTGTGTGCGATGTGCTCAGTTGCACATGTGATCAGTGGTCTGCGTATTATGGTCTCTCTCGAACTAGCTGCGAACCAAGATCGACGTAGTTGAGGGGGGTACTTTGGCACCCAAAGCACCCCCCCCCCCCCCCACGGCCCTGGCCTGCCACTAAAGACCACTTTCTCTAGCCCCGAGGCGAGGGGTGGTCGTTAGTCACAGATCTTGCTGTACATGCACTTAGGAGAAGATTTGTGACTGTTGTTTCGAAGTTACGGTAACGCTATGATGTCAAATTGAGGTACATTTACTAAAACACATGAACAGGTCTTCCGAGCAGTTACCAGACAAACCTCATTAGGCAAAATCCCCCTGGTTGAACATGTTCATGTAAATAGTCGTAAATGCAAATCCGGATTTCAGCAGGGAGTGACGCTTTCTTCCAGGTTTGCCGAGTCTAAGGTTCGATGGACTTCTCGTTTTCTCTGGATGGCAGTTGTGAGTCAGTCAAGTGTCAAGTCAAGTCAGCGGAATAGCGCGAGCTCCAGTGTGGGAGCAAACCCATTCCTAACAAAATCATTGCCGAAGTCGCAACCTCTATTTCGTACTGGTGTGCCCAGGGCTTGCGACTAGCTGGTTTGGAGGTGACAGTATTGTGAATGACCGAGGGTCCTCTACGTCTGTACTCACCGTCCAGGAGCGACACTGACTCACGCTGCTATCTGGTGTTCACGAGGTGTTTGTCGAGCTGGAAACGGAGCGTCTCTGTAAGTTTGTATCCCTGGTGATATTTGTGCCTGGAGAGCACTATTATAAGTGGTGCTTTTCAGACACAATCTTCCTCACCTTACTCAAGCTCAATTGATGAGGGACGAATTCCCCGAAAAATGTGTATTGAGCAGGAAATGGTGCTTTCTTGCAGGTTTTCCGAGTGGAAGGTTCGATGGGCTTCTCGTGTGCTCTGGATGGCAGTCGTGAGTCAGTCAAGTGAGAATTCAAGTCGGCAGGAATAGTGCAAGCTCCCACGGAGGGAGCAACACACAATTCCGTAAGACTAGATGTATACTGAAACCTGTCTGAAACGACCGCTCAAGGGACCTGCAAAATGCATGTGGTCTCTGTTACCAGGGGGCCTTCTTGTCCAGGGTCATTTGACTGGAAATAGCATCCCTTGATCCTGGTTTCAGTGACCACGGTCTTCTTGGACAGGTGGTCTTCTTGGACAGGTGGTCTTCTTGGACAGGTGGTCTTCTTGGACAGGTGGTCTTCTTGGACAGGTGGTCTTCTTGGACAGGTGGTCGCCTTGACAGGTTTTACTGTACAATACCTATATAGGTCTACTTCGAAGTACTGTACATGATTGTACATGTGTACACCTCTAGGCTGTACATGATTGCAAAGAGAACACGTACAAAGTCAACCCGAAAATTTCGGAGAAAGTCGGTTATTTCCTGTAATATTTGTAATTTTTGGTCGAAGCTTACCGTTTAGAAATGGCACGACGAGTAAGACGACCATAGCTAGAGCAGTGACTTTATGAGAATTCATTCTCGCGATTTCTTCAGCACTCAGAAGCAGGTCGAACCGGAAACGCGAATGACTCGATGGCGAAGAGTCGGCGAAGACCAGCCGGCAACCTTGCTCCAACGCTTGGTCGAGACTGTTGGCAACGGTGCAAACGATGCTTATCCCTGCGGGCTGTACGGCGTAGCTTGAAAGACAGACAATATTACCGGAGGTTGAATGTTGAACTGTCGGGAACGAGACGTTGTCTTAGGCAGCACAGGATACACGACGGCGATAACAGAACGTTACTATGGTTACCAACTAACGAGAACGCTGACGACAGGACATCCGAAACGAACGACGGCAAACATTGACTGTCGACACTTGAATGATGAGCTGAAGTGCAGGTACAGCGTATTAATTTGAGCTTCATTCTGACTCGTTGCGCGCCATTCGACCAGGACTCTACACCTACCATTCTCCCAGAAGGTCACTGGTCTGAGAAGGTGAAATGCTGCAGGGGATGTGAGAGGAGAAGGTGCCACTGCCCCGCACCACTGGAACCAGCTGACAGTGTAGCATCATTCAACTCAGCGCCAACGTTCTGACATGTCCAGGAGGCCGTTCGCTCGCTGATCTCGTTATCTCAGATCCATCTTCCTTTAAAATACGTACTACAGTGCATTTCAAAACTATAGACGCGTAGGGTTTTTGAAATATTTCAAATTTGGCTGGAACCTTTTGAGAATAGTTTTCGGAATATTGCTCAGGATCGCTCCACAATTACTCTCATATAGTTTCTAAAGGATTGGATAACAGATGCCCAATTTGGAAAAAATATGCACAAAGTGATCACAGATTTTATGTGGTATAGATGCTGGCATAACGGTTTTTGCCTAGGTACGCGTCTATAGTTTTGAAATGGACTGTAGTACATTCAACTTTGAGTTGAAGTTTTTGGAACACTTGGGAAAAATATTCATTGTGTTTATTTTGCCCGTAAAATGGTAAAAGAGGCTGTATAACTAGTACATTGTGCTCGTAGACCTTGTTTTTTTGTATTTTTTTACAGTACTGTACTATTTTCAGTATACCCAACTCGCAACCCACAAACAGTCCTTGGCTACACCACGTAGGTCTACAGTTGAAATTGTCCAAATTTTCACCCAGGAGGGCATCATCCGCAGGGATATACTGTACTATGTTCACATTATGCGCCAGAGCTAGCGCTACCCGCGATCACAGTTACAGCCCGGCGGCCGTGCTGCAATCCTTTCACTTATGGTGACCACATGGCGGGTGACGGAGTGAGAAAAGCAGCTGGTCTCTGCTGCAAGCTTGCCAAAAAGCCCTCGTTCCTAATTTCAGGAAGGACGTGAAACTGGGAATGTGGGCGTTATTTTACAAATTTTTATTTTATTCACCGCTGCACAGCGGCCTTTAGTTGCTCAACGCCGCAAAGAATTTACCATCACTACAAATTCAATGTGCAATAGTGTACAATAATTTAGAAAAACGATCCTGTCAGCTTTTCTATTGCAGTGGAGATTGTATACAACGACACTCCTTCGGGAGAAAACAATATGTCGCTATATTCGATCTGTCACTAAACCCGATCTTCATATTTTTACATGGAAATTGTGGGCACAAGTTATGCGATCGAGTCCACCAACTAAACCAGATTTTGAACAGTCAGACGTGCACAATCTAGCACAAAACTGACAAGGAGCACACATCTGACTGTTCAAAATCTGGTTTAGTTGGTGGACTCGATCGCATAACTTGTGCCCACAATTTCCATGTTGCAATTTTTCCTTGGCTCCCCATCTGAGTTCTTCATATTTTTAAACTCGGATAATAAGCCAGTATGAAATGTAAAATAGAAGAAGAAAACACATGGAAACGAGTTATGAAGCAACTATCCACGAATGTAACAAGATAATAAGCGGTCAGTACGTGCGATAACAGGGCACAAAACTAATAGGCTACTGAGATATTCAGCGACCCAAGACCTAGCTAGGACCCTCTTTGGTCCTACTCAACCTTGAACCTTCCAAGTCGGAAGGCTGTTGGTTTGCGCACTGGATATTAGAGCTACATGTAGGGATTAAGGAGATCGGCTTGGCTCAATGAAACCCCTTCTCAGCAGCTCCGTTAGCTGCTTCTGGAGCTCATCCATTTCGGGCTTGGGAAGGCGATATGCTGCACTGCTGCACAGCGCGACAATCTCTGGCGATGTGGCCTCGCTTCCTTCAGTTGAAGCATCGTCTCTCCTGTACCACCAAGTTGAACTGTTCCTGCGGCATTTTGCTAGGCCTTGGGCTTCGCTGACTGTTGCCTGGAAAGTTACCATGGTTGCTGGATCTAGCTGCGACCAAGCCGAGTTGCTCTGCATTGTGACCTAAGACCTAAAAAAGTCACTCCTGACTTTTTTGTTAAAAAATCTGCTGGAACGGTACGCATGGTATACGACTGGAGGGAGCTGAATAGGTGTTGGCGGGTAATGCTCGGTAATATGGGATATAATAATAATTATTATTATTTAAATAGGCGTCGAGGCGACAATAGTTTTAGAATTGCGATCAACAGAACGAGCTGAACCGACATTTCACAAAGGCTTTTATTGTATTCAAAAAACGAGTGGATACGAAGGCAGTGAAGAACATGGAAGAAAGAAAAAAATGTGATATGGAGAAAATGATGAACAAAAAATCGTACTTCGAACTAGTTTTCGCACAACACTCCTCAGGAAGCTACGTTGTACTAATGAAAAACAATCCAGAAAGATACTAATAAAGAGAAATGGAGTGAGAAGAAACACCACCTATGAAAATGATAATCCTAGCACTAAGGTAATAACAGGAAAAACTGCGAAAGCACTTAAGGGGGCAGCCTACCCATAAATTTCATAATTATGGCATTCAATTGACCGTAACTTTGGTGTTTCTCAATGGATTTGAGTGAAATTTTGACAAAACACTCCTGTCACTATGCTGGCCCTCAGGACATGATTTACAAGTTCTTGCGCCTCACTGACAGGCTTTCCAGGCCGGAAAAACTCAAATTTCCGGCATAATGCCACGGTGTGCGAGCCACCCAGGAGCCAAACAAATGCATTTACAATTTTTTCACATTTTCGTGCTCATTCTGTTCGTGCGCGGGACTCAAACCTAGAACAAGTCCAGAAGCAGCCATGGGTGATGGGGTAGGGCCCCTCAACGAGGCCCTGGAATCTGTCACAACGGAACGAGTGGGCGTTCTCTCACACACTCCCACAGACCCAAGTCAATTTTTGAATTTTTTTAGGTTTAGCACGTGCTACGAGGTCGTACCTTTGATACAACATCCAGTGCTGGGACCTCCACAGCAAGCCATTTCCATAGCGCTGCACACCAAATCCAGGATACCCTCAGAAACCGGCAAAGACTACCACTCACGTTTCACTACTGCCTAGTACTGAATCCTACCTGACTTCTTGACACGACTCAAACTTGCCAAAGTCACTAAATCAACGTCAACTACAATCAATAATCAAGCCACATATCTGCAACGTCACGAGGGTGCTGGCAAAAGTCCTGCTGCACGGCGGCGGGCGAAGCCCGCCGCCGTGCAGCCCAATACGTGGCTCAAAAACCTGATTTTTTGGACTTGGAGCAAAATTCTGCACACTTTCGCGTGTTTCCATGATACGACAAGGTGCGCACGGTCTGCTCACATTCAAATGGATAGGCGACAAGCCTCTGGGTCATCCTAATAAAGATTATTATTATTATTATTAAATACAGTGCTGCCAACAAATGACAGCGTGCAACAAAAAAATCTTTCCTTGCAAGGGCACATTTTCGGCCATAACTCTTGAACGGCCGGTCAGATCGGGACACAATTTTCAGAGAATTTGCAGCTATTCATGCTCTTTCAACTGACGTAGCACTCAATATGAATTTACAAATTCGATTTTTCAGCAAATTTTTGGGTAGTCTGCCACCTTAACGAACTTGTAAAGACTACTAGTATACTGTGACACAAGATATGACACCATGGCCAACCAGGGCCAACAGACAGAACAAGCTGCTACTAGAACAATTTCAAACGAATAATGCTGTCCTTCTGGACACACAGATTAGGCTTATGAATACGTTGACAAACAGCTTCTAACACACTCAACTGCAACTTATAACCATGACGAGCACGGCACAAAACAGAAAAAGAAGAATCAGAATACACCTTGCAGCAATCAGGACGAGATACAAGATGCTTATACACTGATGACTTCCTACTAGAAAACACACGCTCGCACCCACTCTTACTCACACAATCATTCTCGCTCTCACACTCACCGGACTCACTGGCCGAATCCTCCTCAACGACGTCCTGCCTCGGAGCAATCAGGTCCCGTCTCCTCCCATCCCTTGTCTCACGCTCCTGTTGTGCATTCCGTTGGCTCTGTACTTCCGTACTGAAATAGGTCATGGTGTAATTCGCTGTTGTTCTTCTGGGTCTCATTGATATTGAGGTATATAGGTATTGTTGTCGTCTCTGCCGGTGATGCAGCAAGCGATGATGACGCAAACGTGTCTGCATGCAACACTGTTATTACCTTAGTGCTAGGATTATCATTTTCATAGGTGTTGTTTCTTCTCACTCCATTTCTCTTTATTAGTATCTTTCTGGATTGTTTTTCATTAGTACAACGTAGCTTCCTGAGGAGTGTTGTGCGAAAACTAGTTCGAAGTACGATTTTTTGTTCATCATTTTCTCCATATCACATTTTTTCTTTCTTCCATGTTCTTCACTGCCTTCGTATCCACTCGTTTTTTGAATACAATAAAAGCCTTTGAAAATGTCGGTTCAGCTCGTTCTGTTGATCGCAATTCTAAAATTACTACTTATCATTATTATTTCAAAATTTTGAAGGACGCTTCACGCAGCTTCATTATACTGGAATCGTTTGCAGGCAACCTGCCTACACTCAAGAGAGCACTGCATTTCACACAAATCCATTAGAGGTATCGTTACAATGTTTCGGTCTTTATGACCATCATCAGGAATGAAGTGGACATGGAAAGAACAGCAGTATAAAAGAAGGAGGCAAGCAAGCAAAGCGCGGTACATAGTGACAGCGCGCGTAGAGAAGTGCAAAGCACGTCATGGCGGGTGTGCATTACTACATGTACATGACAACACAAGCACAAACGGCGAGGAAAGTAGATACTGCGCTACAGCAGTGATACAAGCCCAGTTCCAGTCTCACACCACCAGTGAGGTGTGTAGAGCCCCGCGCCACTCGCAGTAAATAACAGCTGTATTCAATGCCGGCAAAGCGCACAGGTCAGTACAACAACATCCCATGTATGATGCTAAAGGAAGCTGAGCAAGAAGGACGATTGCAGACCATAGACGGGTTGCCAAAGTCGCCTCCGGGGATCCGTTCCCGAGGTGGCTCTGGAGAACACGGATGTTTGAATCGATTTTTCGGGGCAGAGCGACAGGTTGTTTTTCCTTTTTACCTTTAGACGTATGTTTCCTTCCCTTTGGTACAGTTATTTGTAGCAACCGGGGATGGGTCAGAATGATCACTGTTGTGCTGTGGGTTGCTCGACAAGGAGAGTGAAAGGAAAGAAGATCAAATTTCATTTTCTCCCTTGTAAGCCGACAGTTCGAGCCATTTGGCTCACAAGAATCAATGGAAAAGATCTGGTGCCATCCAAGGACACTTGCTTGTGCTACAAGCTTTTCCACAACGGGGAGAAATCCAAGGACCAACCATATCCGGTATATTTCTCTCACAAGTCGTATCCTTTGTGTAGGAAAGCTCCAGAAAAGAGACTGTTGAGAAAATGTCCGAAGTCTAAGCCCAAAAACGCCAATGCCAATGCCAAGAAACCAAGCAGCAGGTCGAAGTTAGTGCAGTTGATGGCCAGGAACACCTTGTGTTTTTTATCCTTCGTCTTGCTTGCCCAACAAAATGCACTGACTACAGCATCATCGTCCGCTTCAGACAATGATATTGTCACAGCATGAACAAAACCCTCCTTTGCAAACTTCTGCCCTCTCTTGAACGTTCTACCACTACCAAAAATTCTCTTTATAGTTCCAATCGTCAAACCTTTGAAAGGTTTCAGAGAGTCAAACGGCAGATCCATGCGACTACCCACACTATCGTTGCTACTACTACAAGTCCTACTCTATTCCTACACTACTAGTAGAAGTCGGCAGCAACAAACAACTACCAATACACTAAAAGGAAGGAAACACAAGTCATGTCACAAGCAAAACAAAACACACAAACACATCAATCCATGTGTCTCTTTGCCCCGAAAAATCGATTCCGAGCTCGGCGGTCTCCAGGGCCATCTCGGGTACGGATCTCCGGAGGCGACTTTGCAACCTGTCTATGGTAGAATGTGGAAGAGCATACTCCATAAAAGGTGGTAGCCAAGGCACGTGAATGCATGCATTGCCCACACGTATAAACGAAAAGTCGTAGGAGTAGGAAGCAAGTTTTTAGCTCCTGCCTTTCCATCTATGGAATAGCCTTTCGGCCACTTTTGTAAGTATAGGTGGACCTGGAACTAGTCCCAGCCCTAATATGGTGGAGAACTCAAATATGGACCTGGCCTTGCTGCTGGATGGGGAGATTCGTGACTTGGCCAAAAAGTCAGGACTTGCAGGTGTGGACTCGTTGGCCCGACCGGACCTTGTACTTCAACTTCGCGCCATGGACATCGGCAAATCAGGTATGCCAGTTAGGGAAATGAAAGCAACCATTGATGGCCTCGTGGCGAAGATGATACACCTTGAGGAAGGCGGGAGTCCAAACCTGATTGCACAATCTACAACCCCGAGTACAACGTACAGTAGTGTAGCTAGTTCAGGTAGTACAGGGGCTGGGGTGAGGGAAACCGTCACTCGGACTCGTACTCCCCCCAACGCACACTCTACCAACCGTACCCGCACTTCCCAAACATCGGAGGTATATTATGCTCGGCAGGCCGCGAAAGAGAGCCCGTTACCTGGACCCCTACTCGCGCGGGTAGAGCGAAACTGAGCACCCTGGGATGCGAGCAGCTTTTTAGTACTCCCGGGTCCAAAATCTCACCACCAGGCCGGGATGATCAAAACGTCTGCCGGGTCTGCAGCCTACAAACGTGGATCTGCCGACACTGTGCTGTCGACGACATGTCCGGCAAGGCACCTCCTTGCGTGAAAGCAAGGAACGCTTTTTTTTTTAGAAAGGAAGCTTCTCCAAAATTTAAAATTTTTGAAAATTATTCCTTCTGAAAATATCATCGCGTTCTTGACCTCGAAGCTGACTGCTGAATGCGATTAGGAAAGAAGATTCCTGAAGATACACCAGACTGATTCTGGCAAGCCGTCTGTCGTCTAGATATGCAGTTGTTCGTCATGCATGGTCAGCAATCTTCCTCGTTCGTCCTTTCGTTTTCCTGACCACGATGATGACAAGCAGCTCTCATGCTCAGGTTAGTGCTGTACTTGTATGTCTGGGCACACAACACATCTGAGATTCACCCACTGACGTTATCGAACTGAAGAATGCAGCAAGGGTTCCTCGGATTCTCTTGATTTCGGAACAAATTTCCTTCACTTTCACCCTCTCAGTCTCTTCCCCATGCCCTCCATGCATGCACAATGCAGCTTGCATTTCAATTGCTGTTTTTTATACTTTGGCAGTGCCTCTGCTACACTTTCATATAGAGTGAGGTCCTGTAAATAGGATCGAACATTGTTGGTGGTGGTGTGTGTGTGGGGGGGGGGGGGGGGGGGTACGTTTGCAGCCAGGATGTAGGAATGACACTTCTGCACAGCAGGTGGCAATAGTCAAAACTGGTCACTCTACAAATCCCATACCTGCCAACCTTTGCAAACCTGAGATCCAATGACATACCTAGGCATGAAAATGTATACAAAAGAAGCTCGCGGTGAGGCATGGAACTAGTGCACTTTTGGGTGCCTATTACCGCCCTCGATATCGGGACGGTCCCGGCCAAATCGGGATGGTTGTCAGGTATGAAATCCCAACCGAGAAAACCATTTAATTAAAAGATAAACTCGGCCAGGACATAGCGACTTTCTGTTTGCCGGGGGGGGGGGAGGGTCATCGTCCGCAATATTGGTAGAGTTACGATTACATTGTATATGTAGATACATGTGCATCAGGGATTCATAGCACCTGGGGAGACGACATGAGACCTAAGTACCCAAAACGTTGTGAGTTGTGACCCCGGATGGGGTAGTTCTACGTGATCTGTGTTTCTATAGACCTTATTCGATAACGTGATTTTTGGACTCGCCTCCAGGGATTTGTTGTAAGCTGGGGCACGCGTACGTGAAACGAGTGGCAAGAAAGGCCCAGTTCGTACAAGGGAGTAGTAAAATACCGGTATTTTTCTACTCCTATGTTCCCACGCCGAGTCCACTGTGCACTGAGTGCAGGTCTCTTGCCGCTCCCTGGTTCCCGGGACCCTGGTTCACGTGATTGTGACGTTTATTGAATAAGGTCTACATGTATATGCGGGCATGCATAAATCAACCCTTCCACAAGGACGGCTCAAACAGGCAGCCAAGGAGTGAAAATTTCGCTCCTGGGGCTAGGAGTGAAACGAAGGCCTCAATTTGCCAGATGAACCTTCTCCATCGAAACGAACGAAGGTGTCGAATAATTCTTTTACCAGTTCACAGTTGCCGTTCATGCGCACTCCCCGGGGTGGGGGGGGGGGGGGCTACTATGCACTTGTAGTGATACTTACCGTAAGCCAAGTGGAACACGACTAGTTGACTGCACAGACTACAGTACAGTATACATGCACATGTATACAGTGAAGATCAGTGCGTGCATGCCTGCCATAATCGTATGTTGACCTTCGTTCGAATTGAAAAGAGAGGGTCGTTTCGAAAAAGAAAAAAAGCTCGATGGAAGTATGATGCTGCTGACAATTCAAGACTCACTGAAGTCGCCTTTCTGGAATGGATCATGCACTCTAGGTTCATCCAATTGGATATGGACTCAAATCATTGTTACACCATTATTGTTTGGTTAGTTATTGTAC